ATTTTATTGAGAAAAGTTGGTATTGTACTTCGAAAAAAAGCAACACCAACTAAAAATAACTAAAATTTAAAAAATTTTTATACATAGTTTTTAACCCTGTAATATCTTTTTTTTACATAAATTTTAAAATGTAAGAGTTGTTAAGCAAAAAATAAATATACTGATGTGCACAAATTCCAACTAAAGCTTTGTTGTATTCAAATAAAACTATAATTTTGCATTTCATTAATTTTAATTTAATAATTTGTATACAATGCAGAATTTTTAACACTACAAATGCTAAGTCTTTATTGTAAGAACCTTACAAGAATTGCACAAAAACAAAAAAAAACAAAAAAAAATTATGAGAGTAATCGAGTGTGGTATGAGATTTTTGGTCGATTTCTTAGGGTATTAGTCTCGGAAATTGTTACTTGGATTGTAGCTTGCTTAAACATTCCTCAATTGTCTTTCCCATAGCTAAGATTGCCGTGTCATCTGCGAAAGTGGCTGTCATTGTTGTACAGCCTTTATGTTTCTAATATATGGGTATTCGTTATTGTGCTTAACTCTAAAAATCCTATTGGTAAGGTAGAATTCTAGGATCACACATATTTCGTTCGGCAGTACCCTATTCAATTTGCATATTAAATCTTTATGCCACATTTTATCAACGACCTGCGCAACATCTAGGAACACTGTTGATCAAATTTCCCTATTTTCCAACGGTTTTTCTGTGACATTAGTAATTCTGTGAACTTGATCAATTGCAGAGTGATCCGTTCTAAATCCAAACTGATGGGCTGGTATTAACTTTCTTTCTTGAATTATCGGCATTATGCGAGCCAGTAGCATTTTGTCCAAAAGCTTGGATATAATTGCAAGGAGTGAAATTGGTCTACAGGACTTCAAGTCCGTAGGAGATTTCCCTGGTTTAGGAATCATCATAGTTTTTGAAACCTTTCATATTTCTGGAAAATATTTTAAACGAATTACCGCATTGAACAGGAATAGGATTTTCTTAACAGCGATAGTTTGTAGTTCTTTTAACACTTTTGCGGTTATAAGGTCATTCCCTGGAACCTTCTTATTATTGGTTTTCTTGATCTCGTTACGTATTTCAGACAAAGTTATTTTCCTTATGCTCATGTGATTGGAATTAGCAACTTGGTTTGCGTTATCTAAGAAAGTCTGCCTGGGAAGCGGTTTGAAAATATCTTCTACGTAATCAGTAAAACAGCTAGCTTTGTCCATATCGGCTATAGCCCATGTGTTATCAGATTTCCTTATTTGATTTGATATGATTTATTACATAGCTTAAGTGGTTCTTGTTTAATAACTATACAGATTCGCTTATGGTAAGTAACACAGGAGTATGATCTGAGCTTAAGTCAAGACTATCTTTAATATGCATGTAATTCCCAGAAATCCTTCTGGAGATAAAGAAATCGATTAGGTCTGGTATTCTATTCTGATCTGCAGACCAGTACGTAGGTTTACCAGATGACTGAAAATCACAGTTCATTATAAACGCCGCTTCTGTATATTGGCATTTAAATCTCCGCCCATTATGAAGTCTGCTCCTAGGTTACAAAAGCCGTAGTCCTCAACCTTTAGGTTGAATTTAGGAGGACAGTAGATAGCTGACACTATGAATTCTTTATTTTTAAACATTATTGCAACTGATGTGACTTGCATTTGGTTTTCTTCAATTTTAGTTACCTGGTAGTGAGTAATATTATTTTTAATTGGCTTTATTTTCCGGATGGTGGGTGTGGTAACACATAAATCCTCTTATATTTAAGTAGCTTTCTTTTGTAAAGTGCGTCTCGGGTATTAAACTTACATCAATTTTTTCGTTATGTAAAAATATTTCAAGTTCATGAATGTGGTGTAAAAGACCATTAGTATTTCATGTCTTAATTCTGATTGATCTCGTTATTTCTTATTAATTCTAGAGTTTTTGTTAGTCTAGTTTGTTGAGAATCAGGACTAGAGTTTTTTCAATGTATGATGTATCATATTTTTGGTATGTACTCGCATCCTGAGCATAAGTTTGCTTATCTTTTAGATTAGTATTAATGACTTGATTAATCCTGTTAACATTATTACTTATATTAGATTTTTTACAAGAATGTGCTTGTGGAAGACTATTTACACTTGGAAGATCCCTTTATCGAGAAGCTAGGTCTCTCCTTTTTTGTCAGTTTTTGGTCAGTCTATTACAGCCAATATAGTTTGCTGGGTAGCTGCCTCGACAGTTGGAACATGACGCATGAATATCTCTTTTGCGTGGACAGTTGTTAGATAGGTGACTGTTGCCACATTTGACGCATTTTGGATCCTTTTTTCAGAAGTTACCCGATTGATTGAATCCCTAGCATCGCTTACACTGAACTATAGCCTTGCTTGTTTTCTTAACCTTATTTTGTAAATTTTTGTTATATTTTCACTTCTATCAAAAGTCAGCATGAAAAGAAACAACTTCTTTTTTTGTAGCACTAGTTCTCCTCTTTTATCGACAACTCTTTTACTTTTAATTATATTTACAGCATCTTCAATTTTAAGACCTTGACTGGTAATATCATCAATAATTTCATTTCTATTACAACTCCATTGGAGACCTCTTACCACGACTCTAAACAGTCTCTAATTTTTATCCTCGTAAGTAAAACACTCGGTCTATTCACTTTCAAGTTTTTTGACCAGTAGCATATAGGATTCAGTAGTGTCTGGGTTAACTTTCTACACGTTTTTGTTTAGTGAAGTAATTTTATAGTTTTTTATATTCGAATCTAGCAATATTTTATATTTTAGCAATTTCAGCAGTTGGGCTGTATTTAAATCCATGCTTTCCTTTTTTATTTCTTTGATTTAGTTACGCATCATTTCTATGATTGATTCTAAATCTTCGAACTTTTTACGCAGCAGAATACTTTTTTGATTCTGTTCACCGACAATTTACGGATTTCTTATCACTTTTGGTGGAGTCTTGGTGTCTTATTACCCCCGGAGAAATTGGCAATTAAAGTAACCGTTGATTATTGTTTCAGCAATAGCTGGTCCCACCAGAATTCGTGAGACCGACCTCATTAGAAGGTGAATTTACCAATTTGATTGGCTTCCCACCTTGGATATTCAATCTTTGAGTTTTTCCCGTTGCATCTTCTGTTTTACGTGTAACTCTCGTAAGGAGCCTTAACAAGGTACTATTAGCCACGCCAGCTAAACCAAGGCTTTTTAACGAGGTTGGTACTCCTCCCTCACCTCATTTTTCATACATATGCTTATACATATATGACATAGGCAGAGTTATGAAGTTTTGTAGAATAAAATTTAGTGTTTCAAAAACTTTTGAAATCATATATGTAGCTGTCAAAACATATGTTTTTCTTGCTTATGTCAGAAGGTTTTATTTTTCAAAAAAAAAAAAAAATTTCATCAACAATCATTTTTTTTATTTCTATTTATTAGATCCACAAATAATTTTTTTAAGTTTTACACTTTTATAATCCAAAATCAAAATTTTCTGTTTTTTGCATAATCAAAAAATATTTGTTTATGTTTGATAAATATTTTGAAAATTCACGTTTATTATTTTTTTCTATATATGTATGTATATCACGTTTAAAAGTTTTTTCAACTTTCCCGTCCGATTTTTGTTTTAAATGAGATTTTGTTTTTCTTTTTGCGAGAAATTACGTCATTGTTTCTCTTTTTAAAGTTTTTTCAAGTTTTATTCAAGACAAATCTATTATAAAATACCAAAGTATATCTATTAATAAGTAGTTCGACTCGTTCCATTCCGTTAGTTTTCGTTTGCATTTTGCTTCCAAGTTCTTAAAATATTCCAGTTTTATTTAGAAATAGATGGTAATAAGAGTTGTGTAGGCAAGAAAGAAACAAAATATTGTAAACAAACGAGTGTATCAAAAACATTGAACTGAAATAAAATAAAATTAAGTTAGGTAAAAATTTTGTTATTTTTATTTTGATAACAAAAATTTTTGTTTTATTTTTCATTTCATAAAAGTTAGGTAGAAACATTTGAATGCATGAAAGTAATAGTTAAAAATTTGAAATTTCATACTTTGTTATACGGTACATACCTATTCAAGGTAATATGTATGTACTCCGTTTATATGGCTGCTTCAAGCTTATTATTGTCTATATAAACGTTACTTGACCTGAAGTCGGCTTCACTTAAGTCACTTACTTGACTTGAAATGTTAATAATGTTTTGAAATTTAATAGCCAAACGTCGTTTTTGGGCTTTTAAGCTAACATAGTAAAAACGCAGCTTGAGTTTGGAGCCGATTTCACGCCAAGCCGCAATGTAGATGAGGCATAGAAATTTAGCTAAGGGAATTTCTTATATACAAATATTGGTGTGTGATTCCGTTAATGTGATGTAAACGGCGAGTCGAATTACTTATTAATAGATATACTTTGTAAAATACTTACTACACTAACAAATTTTAAGTTTTGTTATGATTTAAGATTAAAGAAAATGATCACATATACTACCATAAGGAAATTATCAGTGGTTCATCTCCAAAAAAAATGTTGGTGCTCGTACAAATTTTTTGTATTGAAAAGTATTGCTTTTGGGTTGTTTTTATAATAATGACAGCAAAATTTACTGCTATGACAGCATGTGCGTGCTCCACACACAGTCAATGATGTCAATTATCAGCAATTTTGACACTCACAGTTGATTGAACCTGTGTTTCAAACCAGAAATGAAGTTACACTCATTTTCTACGCTTTTGCTCTGGTTTTTAATTTAATGTTTATCTCTTATAAAATGACGTAGCAGAGTAATTTTTTTTTGTTTAACGTACACACTGTTTACACATACAACAAAATCAAAGATTAAATATACGATAAACTCTGATAAACGGTCATCAGTCAGATTGAAATTATCTGTTATAGCGGCTCTTTACGTTAACTCTTACGTTAACCAGAGAAGAGCGAAGAACGAAATGTCAGAGTTCATATAGAATATACAATTTAAATAGCACTTCCCAGAACCAACCGAAATTATCGTCGCGAGTATAAATTTTCATTTTTATTTTTTCAACCTACTGCAGCGGTGTAATATACTAAAATTCATATTCACCGAACGCCAGCGGTGGAATATTGTTAATTTCTACTTTACCCTTGGCTGACATTACCTGTTTGCATCTTCAAAATCCTGTAAATCTGTTTCGCTGTCGTTGTGGCTGAACAAGGGAAATCCTCCGCCGTTTACTGCTTTGGTTATTTTTACAATTACTTAAAAAAAATTGACAGTAAATTTGTTGAGATTGAAGAAGATTACACAATTTTTACGGCTGCCAAAAACAAGACATAAATTTTAATATAATAAAAAAATATTTTTATTATATCAACGTAATTTTAATAATTTGACGTCAGGATAAGTCTGGTGTCAAAAAGTGTTTACATGTACGACTTTCACTTTCATCAGACTCAAATTAGTTCTTAGATTTTGTCGCATGTGTGAACAGTACCTATCATCTTAATACATTGTACTCGAATTTCTTAAATTGATAACTTAACTTGTATTAAAATATTTAAAAATTTTAGCGAAGATTGTGATAGCATAAAAATAGAAATTTAATTTGATTAAAATGGCATTTTCAGAAAAAGAAAAAATTAACACTAACAAAATCAATAATCAGATTAAACATGTGCCGAAGGATGCTCAAGTAATTATGTCTATTCTGAAGGAATTGGGAGTTCAGGATTATGAACCTCGAGTTGTAAATCAGCTTTTGGAATTTACATATAGTAAGTACAATATGTAATATCGTTGTACAAATTTTTAATTTGTTACAATTTTTATAAACTAAATATTAGGATATGTCACATGCATATTGGATGATGCTAAGGTCTTCGCAAATCACGCAAAGAAGAAAGTTATAGATGTAGATGATGTTAAATTAGCTTGCGACATGATACTTGATAAAGCCTTCACTAGCCCGCCTCCAAGACATGTTTGATAAATTTTTGAGTTTTCATAAGTATTTGGTACATGTTGTGACTTTTCAGGTATTATCTAAGTTGGCGGAAACTCGAAACTCAATGCCATTACCTCCAATAAAACCACATTGTGGTCTTCGATTGCCTCCCGATAGATATTGTTTAACCGCTACAAATTATAAGTTACGCTCTAGTTCAGCTGTTAAAAAATTGACAAAGTCAGCTTTAGAGTCCGGAAAATCTTCAATAAAGACACAAAATAAAACTGCATTAAATTGTCTTTCATCTGGTCAACCAACCACCAACTCAAATACTATTGGATCATCAATAAAACGAGCGGCGCCACCCATTTCTGCTCCCAAAACACAAATAACTACGATTCCCAAGCCCGTTTTCAAATTTAGTTCGCAACAAAAACAAATAGCTGTGAATCCTAATTCCAACAAGTTTCCAAATCCGGAAGGAGGTAGTGATGAAATAAAAATGGAAATAGATAATGAGGAAAATTTGAGTGCAGTCATAAACGATAGCAATAACATGGAAATGTCTACTGAAAATGTTACATTGAAAAAAGAGCAAGATGAGGACGAATTTGAAATAGTTCAATGATTTTTATTAACATAATTTTCACAAAGACAATAAAGGCATCTTCACAAGATTTCAGTTTTTTTGAAGTGCTAATATAACGGTACAGCCTAGATCCATAATTTGTAGATATTCCGAGCCACCTTGTGATAAACGGAATGCACATTCCTGAAATATAAGAACGCATTAAAAAATTTTTCATTGAAAATGTTCCGAAAAAAAATTTAATTAAATATATAAAGAGAAAACTCCCGTTTTTAGGAATAAAGTATTTTATTCCCAAAGTTTTTCTTTTCATACATTTAAAAGAATGAGTACATACATATATGTTTTTGTTTTTTAGTTTACATGTTGACATACTAACCCCTAATTTCTCACAAATTCTGCATTTTTCTTCATTGTTTAAGTCTTTATGTCTTATAACAAATTCATTGAATTGGTCTATCATTTGACCAATACTATATGCTTCAAATATTATATTATTAACAAACTCTTCTAATTTTATGTAATTTCCACTCTTGCAAACATTGAAAAAGTCGTGCATATAATTTTCAGGGACAAGGCCAGATATTTCGAACAAATCTTGTTCAGTAATTGTAGAAGTTGTACCTTTAAGTCTGAAGCAAGATTGCAATAAAGTAATTGCTCTTCTCATATCACCCTCAGAAATTTTTAATATTATTTGATATGCGTTTTCATCTATATTTACGTTTTCTTCTTTACAAATAAATTTAAGTCTTTCAATTACCTGAAAAAAAAATATTTATATGTGCACAATAGATATAGACTGAATTGTTTTACTTTTTCTTCACCCAATGATTTAAAACGAAATTTTGTGCACCGTGATGTAATGGGGTCGATAATTCTTGTTACATAGTTGCAAATTAAACAAAATCTAGTACTTCGACTTTCTTTTTCCATAGTTCTTCGAAGAGCGGCCTGTGCTGCATGTGTCATCGAATCTGCCTCGTCTAAAATTATTATCTTAAAAGGAGGACATGGCTTTCCATCTGGTTTAACATTACTAGCTGTTAATTGAGCGAAATTCTTGATTTTAGTTCTAACTACGTTTATACCGCGTTCATCAGATGCATTTAATTCTAAAATACGATCTTTATATATTTCTCCAAACAACTGGTGGGCCGCCGCTAAGATCGTACTAGTTTTGCCTGTACCAGGAGGTCCATAAAGAAGCATATTGGGCAAATCACCTCCATCTAAACATTGTTTTAAAACAGCAACTATTTCAGCTTGCTCCACTACATCTTCAACCTTTTTCGGACGACTAAAAATTTAATTATGTATGAATTAATAAATCTAACTTGTAGATTAATTACGCTTACTATTTTTCAACCCACGGTGTTCTGCGTTTTGTGTTGTTGATTGATCCCTCTCCATCGGTTGAAGTTATTTTTTCGCTACTCTTAACATTTTTTAAAAATGCTTGCATTCTGAAAAATTTAAATTAATAACTCATTAACTAACTTACTTGAATTGAAAAACAGAACCTGCTGTTGTGTCAACGCCAATTAAAATGCGCCAATCCGCAATGCCATATTTCAAAATTTATTTTGACATTATTATGTTATAAAACCTTCTTATTGTCATAAATTAACTTGACAGACCTTTTAAGTCTGCCTCGTTAACTTGAAAAAAGTTTAAAAAGAAAAACATTAATGTAATTTCTCGTAACAAGGAATTCTCATTTAAAAATAAATAAACCAAAAGGAAGAGTTGAAAACACTTTTAAAAAATTTATAAATAGGTGATAAACGTGAACTTTTAAAATATTTATCAAACATAAACAAATATTTTTTGGTTATTACAAAAACCAAAAATTTTGATTTTGGATTATAAAAGTGTGAAATTTAGAAGAAACCATTTGTGAGTCTCTTTTATTTATTAAAACCTTCTGACATAACCAATAAAAGCATATATTTCGACAGCTATATGATTTTAAAAATATTTAAAACACTAAACTTTACTCTACAAAACTTGAAAAAACTTTATAAAGTTGCTTCAAGTTTTATAAGTTTTTTAAATGAGATTTTTTTATTTTTGCGACAAATTACGTCATTTTTTCTCTTTTTAAAATTTTTTCAAATTTTATCCCATACAGGCCTTTTGATTTGCGTTGCAGCAAAGACCATATATTTAAAAGACAAACCAATCTAGTGTAAAATTATTAGATATGAAAAATTTTAGGATTTTCAGATATTTGCCAGAGCCACCTATTGAGCTTTGTTGATATCTGCATTAGATTTCAATTTCTGCTATACATCAAAATATAAAAACAAAAAAAAAGAAAAAGGAAAATATAAAAAAGAAATCGCAAACATATGATTGCGAAAGTGAAGTAATATACAAATTTTGTTTTACGATCAGCTGGGTTGTCATTCTGATATATTTCTACATAACACTAATTTGATAGTTTTTTCGTAAACTCTCAAATTCTTGACCAAAGTATGTATATCTATAATAAGTAGTTCGACTCGTTCCATTCCGTTAGTTTTCGTTTGCATTTTGCTTCCAAATTTTTAAAATATTCCATTTTTATTTAGAAATAGATGGTAATATGAGTTGTGTAGGCAAGAAAGAAACTAAATATTGTAAACAAACGAGTGTATTAAAAACATTGAACTGAAATAAAATTTAATTAAGTTAGGTAAAAATTTTGTTATTTTTATTTTGATAATAACAAAATATAATTTTTTTCATTTTATTAAAGTTAGGTAAAAAATTCCAACATGCATGTGTACATGTATGAATGTACACATGCATGTACCTGGTACAGTAGATACACAATATCAGGCAGTGACATAGAAATAAAGTAATTTGTAAAAAAAAGGTGTATGCATACTGATTAATACTTTATGAAATATAATCATTACCCATTCATAGGAGATATGTTTTTTATTTTAATATTATACGTCTTTTTCAAAATTATATTATATGAATTATAATAATTTTTTTAAACACTTTTTACCGCTTCGCTTTTGTAACATGAATACACCTTTTTTGCCACCTTATACTGGAATAAGTTACAAAAATAAAACTCCCGCCTTTAAAATTCTTAATATTTTTTCCTATACTTTATATAGGGAAAAATAAATAACTCCCGCTTTTAAAAATACATTATAAAAAACAGGTAGACATCTATTGCGTACTCTTTCCCTCTTCCAAAAATTCTTATGTCTATAAAAATAAAAATAAGAAGGTATACTGCTTAACTCTTTTAGCGAATGGAATTTTTTGTATACAAATATTGGTGAATAATAGATATACTTTGTTCTTGACACTGACATTCTTAAATTATTATATTATGTATTTAAATAATATATATTACAATTTAATTTAAAATTAAAGTTTTTTCTTCAATTTCCCATAACTTTTTTACATTATTTTAAGATTTGTCAGAGGTGACAATACGAAAAACAACATTTCTCTCACTCTGAAAGACACTCTGCGTCTCTCTGTAGTTTAGCTTCACTTTTTTTCTATAACAACATAAGACTTATTGTACATCTATGAAATATATTGTAAGATTATGTTAACATTAAACTAATGTCTTTATATCTAACAAGTCCCAATGCTCAGAGAGAAACTTGAAAGCACGACCTTATTTGATATGGGTTTTTTAAATCGAAGTGGCTATTTTTAGAGAAGAAATATTAAAATAAATTCACACTTATTATAAAGCAGGTAAAATTTAGAAATTATATTTGAAAAATCAAAAAAATATATTAATATTTTCATCGATAATTATTTTAAAATTTAAAAAAAGCGGAAAAACAACAAGCACATCCTTCGCCTTCAACGTTTTATATGTTACTGAAAGCATTTTATTATTTTTATTATTTTTAAGTGAACAGCTTTTTTTTCTAATAAGGTAAGCTAACTCAAGATATGGGAAGTAACTGTAGTGTCAAGTTGAAAATGTAATTAATGAAGATTTGAAGAGGGAATTAGAAAATAATATCTAAAATACAATCAAATACTATTTGTTAAATACAAATTTTATAAAAACTTCAAAATTTTACCTCTATTTTTATTTGAAAAAATATTAAAAACTTACTACCATTTATATCAATTACCTAAGAAAAAAAATATTTAAAATGTTTGGAAAAAACAATCATATATTTTTATGATCTGATTTGAATATTTTTCTATTTTTGAAATAAATGATATTTTACCAAATGACTCAAAAATTCCGACTGTAAAATAACAGGTATTTTAAAATTTTTGTACAGGTATCTTAAAATTCTTTCCGTTTAGAATTAAGATAGGTCATACATACACATGCAGGGACATTTTATAAATAGATTGCTTTTGTTTACCTGCTAATGAAATATGAAAAAAGAGCACAGCAAAATTTTTGAAGCACTGAATATAACATGTTTGAAATAGTTTTAAAATAATTATTTAAAAAAAAATTTATTGGAAGTAGGTACGTACATATTTATTTTTAATAACTTAAAAACTAACTGAAATTATTTGAAACAATTTTATAAGTAACGTATAAATAACCGAAATGAGATAATTCAAATTGTTGAAATGTGTCAACCTATATTACTTTTATTAACTTTTTTGTTAGCCGACACTACTCAACTTACCTTATTGGGAAATACAAAATGTGCATGAAAAATCATACATCTTTCCTCACTAACGTTTGAAACCATACTGAAATATGAATTTGAAATTTTTTATCATTTTTTCTTTCCTCCTACCTTTCTTTCTTTTTCGCGCAATAGAATTTAAATGGGAAGCTTTTTGAAAAATGTGTATAATATCCTGAGATTTTTTAAAATATTAATCTCTTTTTACTAAAAAAAAAGAAAAAAATAATAAAAAATATGACACGATCAGTGGCATTTAAAGAAAAAACCAACAACGAAGCCAAAAATTCGTAATATTTCGTAAAAAAAATTGAGTATTGGGACTTGTTAGATATAAAGACATTAATTAAACAATTAATTTTCAGATAATAAAAGTACTGTACGATGTACTTTAAATCTCCAATCATGTGAGAATAATTATCATTTACGAAGTCGACAGTCAAAGAGTATATACTCTTTGATTGCCTTTGTGATTCTAAAATTACATACTATTTGTAATCAAACTAATAATTTTGTAAATCAAACAATTTTTTAACTTTAATTGAATTTAATAATTGAATAACATGATATTTAAAATAATTAAATAGTAAAATTCAATTTTGAAAATAAACATTAAAATTGTGGAAAAGTATACATACATATGTACATAATATGTATGTATACTTTTTTACATACATACATACATTAATACATGTACTGTAATCAATAGCTATGAATTGGTTTTATTTTGAAACATCAAAAAACTAGTTAATCCTATGTATATATTCCCTAATCAACTTCACTTTATTTATAATTTTTTTCTTTTCTTTGATGAACGTAACCGGATGTTTTTGTATGCAGTGGTGTCTAATTTTCTGAAATTAAGTTCAATTCAAAGAACTTTGCTACAAGAATTTTAACAATTTTCTCCGGATGAATACAAAAATATTTGCGAGCTGTGTATTTTTCTCGTTTAGGAAACTTACAAATCTCTATTTGCACTATTTTATAATTTTTAATCATTTTTATTTAAATCCAAATATGTACATATATTGCTAATTCTGCAATTAATTTGGCGTGAACAAAAGCTTTAAAATTTAAAAAATTATATGTACCTACATATATAAGTATCTAATTTTACATTACAATTACAAACGAAAACTGCTGACCTCAGCGTCTGGTTTGTCTGCACGTTCTCAACGTTCTTCACTTCTCCCTCTTTAAAAAATTCAGGCCTCGCAAATCATACACTTAGATTCATGGCCTGTAAATTTTGTTGAAGTTTCGCTAGATTTTTTTCAATCATGTTATCATGTGTTATAGCCAATTTTCTTTGAGTCAGCTCGTGTAGGTATTCAAGATTTAGTATCACTTTGCTATAGTAGAATTATGTTGTATAGCCGTCGCAAGAACTTGCGATCCTTGATTTTCTTTATTCGTGAACGTCCTTTTTTTATCTGAAATTTCGTTATAAAATTGAATTAGGAAATTGCCTGCTAAATCTTTTTCACTTCCGTGCTTGTTAGGTATCCTTTGAAGTCGTTTAGGAAGAGCTGTAGTTTCTGTCTTTGGTATTGACACAATGTCAAACATCATTGAATTTTTTACTATAACTGTTGGCGTTGAATTGCTTCTATCACGTTGGAATATTGTAGATTTCGCTTTCCAGAATTTTGTGAATTTCTGCCTTAAATAAATTTGCGGTGATCATTTTTTCTTTCTGTAATTGAATTGTTCTGAATATTTCTTTCACTTCTTCTTTGACTAAGCTTAGCTGGTTAAAGATAGTTTGTTGAGTATATTTATTGGCATCCTTAATATTCAAGCAATAAAATTATTAATAAAAATATTTATTGGCATCCTTAATAAAAAAGCAATTTTATTGTATTCCTTAAAGATATCTTTATCAGGATTGAACTGACCCTATATTGCTCGTTATTGTTTTGGATTACATTGTTTTGAATTTGCAATACCTGATCCCAATCGAAAGCTTCCGGATTCCCTAATTTATTTCCACGCGCTTCCGATCCAATGGATTGAGCGTTTTTACCTTTGTTGTTGACTTATTTCCCGAATTAGGTTCTCAATCTTTTCCATTTGAAAATTCAATTGTGTTTTGAAGCGCTCTTTGGGATTTCTTGTCTTTACCTCTTGCTTAGTTATTTATAGTACTTCCTCGTACACTCTGAGGTCGATTTTGTGAGTTAAGTTGAAGCTCCCATCCAAGATTTGTCCTATTCTTTCATTTTTGCTAGGTATTGGTGATTTGTATTCGTAAATTTGAAAGGTTTTTGCTGGAAACCATACCCATAGCCAAAAACTGAAAAGAGAAAAATTTAATTAGGTAGTTACGAGTAAATTTTTTATTGAGTCTTGTGAATACTTTTCCTCGACTTAGTGGTGACCTTATTATTTTTTGCAACTTACTCCTTAAATATTGGTTTACTTTTATCTTTAATTTACCTGTTTACATAAATGATTTCTTCAGGTTGGTATTCCTTGGGTGTTTTCCTTTTACTTCTCTCCCTGCTTATTTTCTTTTTCTGGTTTGTGGGAATTATTTCTACTACATCTTCATCAATTTTTCTTTGGAAGTCATATAGGTTTTGATAATTTAGTCTTTGTGTTCTTCGCAAGGATATCTGATGGTTTTTTCATTATTTCAGAATGAATTGAATTGCTACATCTGTCGATAGCCATATATATGATTTCCTTCAAGGATAAATTCCTATACTCTTGTTTTAAACATCTTGCAATTTTTTTTCGATGGTTGAGTGTACCCTTTCTATGGCAGCATTTACTTCACTTTTTCGGATAGAGGTTAAGTATATCTCGCTTCCCAATATCCTTTAATAATCTTTGATGGTGGAACTGGTGAAGCTTGGCTCGTTGACTAAAACTACGAAGAATCTTTGTCAGTTTTTGCTTTATTTGTTATTTATTTATTTATTGTTCCGAAAAATATTTTAAAATGATACAATAATTAAATATAAGTATAAACGGAGATAAAGGTACGTGTTATCTTAACAACTAAAATATTCTATATAGATTTTAATTTGATATGTATCTACAATAATATGTTACAGTAAGGAAAAACTATATATTTTTTTACTAGATTTGCCATTCAAGGAAAAAGGTAATTTTCTTATTTTTCCTTCAATTGCGATGAGCTCTCCTATGTACGTCCTCAAGTATTTTCATTTTATTTTGTTCTTGCAAGACTGGAAGTGATCCCGGTATATATCTTGGAGCATTTGTGTATGTACATATATCTGAAATATTTATTTCTTTGGTGACAAATGGTGATAATTTTTCCTTCAATGTTCTAATTAATTCAGGTTTTGTAACTGTTGTAAAGCTTTATAGTGTCTGTTGAAATTTAGAAGGGGTTCTTAATGAGCTTCGGTTCTGTTCCCTATGCTAATTATCCATTGATTTCTGGTTCAATTTTATTTAGTTATTGCTGATTTATTTCTGATTGAAGGCGTTGATGGGTCCTTCACAATGTGGTATTAAGTCCAACTTGTCATCTTCTGTACTATGTGCTGTGTCTGTTGATGAGGAGTCTTGAGGTTCGTTCATTTGCGTCATGAGGAGTCGTGAGGAGATTCTTCATTTGCAGTGTCCGTAGAGGAACTTTCTGAGTCTTCATTATTTAAGATGTTTATTTCCGTTTTTAATCTAGAAAGTACATATGCTACTTTGTTGGTACAGCTGGGTTTGTACACTATTTTGTAATTGCCTTGCTACCTTGAGGAATACAATTAGGGAGTGCAGCATTTTATTTCGATTACTCAGCGTGAATGTTAATGGTTGGTGGTTCGTAATTTTGATATTCTTGCTTGGTAAAGATAGCTTGTTTAATTCCTATACAGTTGTCAGCATCTCCTTCTGGTTGGTTACATAATTTTCTTTTGTCTTGTTGAGTAAGCGGGAAATATAAGCTATGAGGCGTCGGTTGTGAGGCTAAGTATTTTTTCGAAATCAGGAAATCTGATAAAGAAAGTACCTCTTTTAGATTACGGAACACTTTCAATTCTTCTGTGCCCATCTTTATTTTTCGCGATTGTTTCGCTTTTTAATTTGTACCTTTTTCCCCTTAAGTTTGTGAAGGGCTTTTGCAATTTGGTCAAAGTCACTTATGAAATGCCGGTAGTATGACGCTGATCCAAGAAATGATTTTAATTCCTTCAGGTTTTTAGGTGGTCGAATTTTTGCTACTGTTTTTACTTTTTCTTGATCAACTCTGATTCCCTGCCCGGTAATGGTATAACCAAGGAATCCTGTTTGTTCCTTAAGGTATTCCGTTTTATTTAATTTCATTCTTAAGGTGCTTTTTAGGTGTTTGTCGGAGATTTTTTTAACGTTTTTTAGATGTTCGTCTTCGTTAATACCTCCAAAAATAATTATGTACATCGTCAATAGAAATGTAGCAAATTTTGCCGATGTATTCCATTTTTTATTTAAAAAACGCCTAATTTATATTTATATCCTTCGAATCTTTTTGTCTCCGAAAAAGAAAAGACAATTAAATTCAGTAGACAACATTTTCGCCAAAATTTGAAAATTAGATTAGAATTTTTTCCAACTTTATAAATTTTCAAGATATTTTTTGAATTTTTTTATACATGTTGATGAGTATAAAAAAATAAGAACAAGAAACAGAACTAATTTTCTTTTGTAAAAACAATAAACAAATTTCTCTTTATTTCATTCTTGCATATACATACATTATACATAACGTACATAAAACATATTACGTATATAGCTAAAATAACCGTTTATTTTTTGTAATTATTTCTTTTAATAAATTATATCAACATTTTTGAAACTTAATTTCTTAATTAAAGAATAATTTTTCTTATTTACTTACATATTTATCTTTAATAAAATAATCAAAAACTTTGACATTGTAATTTCTTTTCTTCAGTACCTTAACAAAAATGCAATACAAAATGAACCGTCGCTTTTTATGTATGGTATACAAAATATTTCAGTAAATTAATGTGTGGTATAAATATATATATATATATATATATATATATATATATTTATTTACTATATACAAAAATTTTCTATAATACAGTAACAACACTACTATTATTATTAATATAGTTATACGTTATTAACATTAACAATAAGAAAAAAGTATTTGAATAAAATTATATTGTACAATTTTTTTCCGGTATTCATTATAAAAATTTGCATGTTTTTGCTGGTTTATGTTTCGGCCTCCGTTCAACAGCTCGTATTGCTTCTTCAAAGACTTCATGTAAGTTTTGCTGTTTTTTTGCTGAGCATTCTACAACTGAATGTGCTCGAATTTCTCGTTTTAATTTTTTTCCCTCAGCTACTGTTACAAATTTATCTGAATACGGAACACGTAGATCTAATTTTGTTCCAACTAAAACAATAGGTGTATGATTGGAAAAATGGCGTATTTCTGGGGACCATTTTGATTTAATATTTTCAAATGAGGTACGATTATCAATGGAATAACATAATAGAAAACAGTCAGTCTGAAAATAAAGAAAAAGGGATATTACCAAAATTTTATTAAAACTCCAATTGTTTCAAAAATATTAGAATTAAAATGATATCTCTATTCCTTATTTAAGTGAATGATCTAAAATTTAAACGCATAATAAATCGAAAAGTGTATGTACATACATATGTATTTCTCATTTTTTTCGAAATATGTATATATGTACATAATTTTAAAAAATATTTTTACGAGCATCTTAAAGGTTATTTTCAAATTATTATATTAAAACGGCTTTCAAATTTTCATGATAAAATAACGACTTGATAGATTCAATGAAAACACGGAAAATTAAATATTTATAGTGAACACATTTACATATATTAATTCTTACTTTATTGTATGCGTATATTGTATATAATAAATATATATATGTATCATATATGCATGTATACATATTTAATATGTCTCTTTGATAACTAATAATTTAGATGCATTGTCTATGGCTTGTATGTATTTACATTTGCATGACGTTAAGGCCGCATTATTACGACCTTTTGAATAAGGGACCATATTAAAACAGTTATATTTATTTTATATAAATTTATATTTTATTGTAAACACAATTGAGTTTACAATAAAATTGTATACAAAATTCACATTTTTTTATACTTTTCTACATATTGTCTTTTGTAATACAATTAATTTTGCATACGCAATGATAGCATATTACAACATACAAATTTAAATACAAAAATTTGTTTTTATTTTACTCACGTTTGGATAACTAAGCGGTCTTAATCTTTCATAATCCTCTTGTCCAGCTGTATCCCATAATGTTAAATTATAATCTTTACCGTCAACACCAATATTACATGGATGATTATCAAATACTGTCGGTACATATTCATTTGGAAATTCATTTTTTGTGTAGGTTATAAGAAGACATGTTTTTCCAACCATACCATCGCCTACGACAGTAATTTTCAAAGGTCTGGTGTGTGATGTCATGATTATTCCTTTATTCTTTCTCGATTATGATCAGTTACACTTCGAGTTTTATATAAGTTGAAATCAAACAGTTCTTTTATATCTAAAATTAGGAACAAAAACATTTATTCAAATTTTATTTGTGTGCATAAAAAATCATTAGCTTTTGTAAATGTAATAAATTATATTAGATAAATAAAACAAAATTCTATTTTTATGAACGAAAACGAATACATACAGTGCCGTAAAAAGACAAAGTACAATATGCAATAAATATTGCACATTGCGCATCACAAATCACTTTTTGTAATAATATCATGCTGAATGTATGAATAATTATAGAAATTAAAACCTGGAATTAAATTTTCAGGTTTTTGCTTTGTGAATTTAACAGCAAGGTAATTTAATTAGCTTTATTTAATGTATACAATTTCAGATTTAGTTCAATCATTTAAACTTGATTTATTAGTTCCAACAAACAAGAATTCACTTTTTGCCATATGAAACTAAATTGTAAAAGGATCTAAAAAATTAAAAGAATAAACGAACTTTTGCAAATCTCATTTAAATACAAAAAAAATTTATGTACATACATAAATGATTATATATACATTAAATAGCATATTTAAATTTCGCATATTTCACTTGAATCGCATACTTAAAGTACAAATTTATTTTAGATGTCAAAGAACAGAAGAAAGCAAACATAAAAAAAAATTCAGATGTTTTTCAAAAATATTTGCACTATTTTCTATTCAGCACTTTTCCAAAAAATTTTTGAAAAAATTACTTATTAGTTTTGCTCTATCCTTTGTCCAGCCGGAACCGGTTTATAAAACTTCTACATCTTTTTGGATGGACAGCTGAAATTACATGCATACATATGTATATGTGCATCTTTACAAGAAACTTATTCCCGTTAAGAATATTTTTACCTATCTCCTCCTCTCTAAAAGTTTTAGGCCCTCAAAGGTCTTGAAATGCCATTTTTGTCTATTAATTGTAACGTAACCACAAACAATTTTTTAATTTTGCAAAAACAGAAAAGTAGTAGTGAGTTTTTTTAATTGCGGCATAGCAAATAGTTAAACTTTAAAAAACCAAAATGGCCGTTAAAATTAGCTGTTATCTAAAATCTATTTTTCCAAATTTTCAAGTCGTTTTTCTTTCTAGACTGCATCATTACCTGAAATTATAGCAGGACATTCTTCTAGAAGAAATTGTTTAATTAGAAAAAATTTTTTTTCTACCTCGATTCGCTTTCAAGTCGCCTATATACGTAAAATTTCAATTTTCGGCACCTTATATTTCCAAAAAAGCGTTTCTAAATTTCTTCAAATGCAGAAAACAGGAAATACCGTGCCAATAAAAATATAATTATTTATCTTAACTCCCTCAACTAACCCTTGAATTTACTATTATGTTTACGTTTCTGTAATTTTTTTATGTCTCATTCTAAATCGTTTAGAATATTTTAATATGAATAAAAGTAATTAAACCCCACCTTTTTGGCTATTGTAAAAGAACTAAGTAGAAATTTCGGGCTGCAACATCCGATAACATTTGAATGATAGTCGCTCTTTCCGTAGACTATTGATGACTAAAATTCTTTATGCATAAGCTCGGATGGGATATGCAGCAGCTGTTTGTGCAAAATTTGTAGTTAATTCGCAGCTTAATATATTCTCATTCATTACTTGTGCGACGTGGTGCTTCCTCCGATTATGGCAAATGATTTGGGTTAGCTGTCACTATGAGTTTATAAAATGCAGTGATTTTGTCACTATTGAGTTCTACCTTCAAATATTTTATTTCAACAAATTAAAATAAAAATTTAGAATGTAAATTAAATATAAATACAATCTACATATGTTTACAATCTAATTTTTTTTTTTAAATTTTCGTCATTTGCCATCTAACCAATAATGTTATGTTATGTTATGTTCTCTCTTCTCGAATTCATTCAGCAATACAACATGAACGTGGCAAATGTGGGTTGCGAACCCACTTTCATAAATGCCATTCAACGGGAGGTACTTGATCTTACCTTGTCAAGTTCGAGGGAGCCTCCCCTCTCGGACCATATGTATATATCAGGATACCTAAACTGGTCAGGAACTGGTCTCTCTTTAAAAAGAGACTTGGCAGTGCCATGGCCGGTGTCCAGAACCAACTCTTGACTTCAGGTGGTCAGAATCATTATATCACGTGGTTCTCGCACGCGCTTACAAGGTCCCGAAGACTATTTTCACCAAAGGGAGGGTAGACTGGGCAATTAATTCATCTGGCCTCTGCAAGAGTCCCGGTGGCGATGGGGTGTACCCAGCATTCCTGCAAAGGGCGCTGGGTGTTCTTCTGTCACATGTTACAAATATGTTCTGGGCAAGTTCGGCCCTAGAGTTCGTACCGACTATTTGGAGGCACGTAAAAGTTGTTTTCATCCCGAAAGTGGGAAAAAGGAACGCAACCGAGGCTGGATCATACAGGCCTATCAGCTTGACATGTTGTCTACTAAAGGCTATGGAAAAGGTGTTAGCTTTAGAAAGAAAGTACGCTGCGGTATAAGGAGATACTGACGGGTACTTTCATAGATATTTCGAGTGCTTTCGACAGTACCAGTTTTAGGGCCATTGCGCAAGCAATGACGTGGAGAGACATCTGCTCCTCCATCATTGAATGGACCATTGGCATGCTCAGGGGTAGAAGAATCGAAACGGTAATTAATACTGACCCCTTGATGGTCGGGCCACTAGAGCTGCCCGGGTGGGGTTAATTCCCCAATTTTGTGGCTTAAGGTTATGGACCAGCTACTTCTGAGATTTGAGCGATCAGGGTTCGGATGCATTAGCTATGCTGACCAACTGGTTGTGATAGTCCGGGGCAAGTTCAAGACTACACCTTTGGAGTGCACCCAACTGGCTCTGACTGTAGTTAAGGGTCTGGTGTAAGTGGGCACATTTAAATGGAACCCGCAAAAGGCAAGGTGTGTACTTCTCACCAACGTGAGCGTGACCTTTCATGCACCGAAATTTCGCGGCGTTCCTGTTTTGATGGCTGGGGACGTCAAATTTTTGGGGGTTGATGTTGGACAGGCGTCTAACGTGGAACTCGTACGTCATGTACGTGGAAACCAAGGATATCGAGGCCTTCTTTGCCTGCAAGTCCTTATACGGGAGGACCTGGTGAGGCCATTAGTGCTCTGAGGACCACGGCGACGGCAGCGCTTGAGAGGATGCTGGGACTTGTTTTCTTGCATTTGCATGTTGGTGGCGTTGTGGCGGCCAGAGCTGCAAGACTGAGGCTCTCAGAATATATAGGACGTGGCTCGACGGGCCATAACTCCATCTTAGAGGATGTTGGATTGGATGGAGAACTCCTGGAGACGTCGGACTGATCAAGACGATTGAATGCGAGAGAAACTTTCAGGTAATAATACCTGAAAGGGAGTCTGTCGAGGCAATTATAGCCTCCTAGCCTGCTTTGGCGTCCGTGTGGTACACGGATGGCGCTAAAGGCGATCACGGCACGGGTGCTGGTGTACACGGTCGCAACTATGGGTTCTATGCGTCTTTGGGCGAAGCTCCCTTCATTTTTCAGGCGGAGGTCTTCCCCATCGAGGCATGTGCTATGCGGCGCATGCGCGGTGGAAATGTTCCATCTTTATAGTTTCCGACAGCCAATCTGCTTTAACGTCAACTTTTAATTCGAAGCTAGTCTGGAGTTGTTTCAACAATCTGGAAAAGCTGAGTGGGACTGAGAGGTGTCTTGACCAGGTCGTGGCTGTCTAGGTGGAAGGACGTGCTTTGGAGCTGTGGGGCTCCCGCGCTTGGCTGTCGCGACCAAAGACTTCTTTGGCTCGGATCGCGGCCATTCCTGACATTGCGAGGCAAAGCCTTATCGTGGTTCGTCACTGGGCATGGGCCCTTTGACTCATATTTACAAAAAATTGACAGATCAAGTATGCAGGGATGTAGATTCTGCGATCGGGGCAAGGAGGACTGCACTCATGTCTTATTTGAGTGTGATGGCTTGGTCCGCTCTTATCTTAAGTTATATATAATCTTAAGGTCGAGAGCTTAAATCTTGAGCTATAATGATTTGGCGCGGGGATGCGCAATAGACTTATATGGTCGAGGTGCTGATTAAATTCGCCCCATACTTGTCATTTTGGGTGACAAGAGTGTGAACCATTATATTTGATACATGAATGACAACGAAATAAAAGGGTATTATCGGAAAGTACGAATTATCTTTCTGAGACGTGTCACTTTAATGTTTGACTACATCCCAAATCTGTTATAAAAATACGAAAAATATTAAAAGCTATTTTAATATTTAAAGCTATAGTATTGAAATTTTTAAAAATATTTTTATGGTTTTCAAACGAACAAAAACTTCAGAAAAGACAAATTCTGAAATTTCTCACGAAAATTCCTGCTATTGTTATAGTTTTTAAACAATAAAAAGAAATTTTTTACATATACATATACATGTATATATGAAATTTCACTCTTAACAGATGAATTCCAATATCCATAAATATAACTTATTAAAACTGAAAAAAAACAGAAGCAAGCACAAAATAAGAATCTAAAACAAAAACAACATCATGTTCAACATATGTTTCGTATCTCAACATTTTTTAGTTAAGTCAAACGTTTTTTAGTTCAATTTTAGAAAAATGTTTATATTTGTAGGGTTTCCACATCGTTTTCTTTGAAAAGACGCCCATTATGAAAAAAGTGAACTTTCATATAACGTATTTTGTAAACAGTGTATAATGTAATTTAGCCACATTACAAAATTTTTGTTTCCAAAACAAATATTTTTATTCAAACAAATATATATATAAGTATTCATTTACTAAATTAAGTTTAAAAAAAAAATGAAATTTCACATTCAATCGAAGACAGAAAACTTTCATAGAGAAATTTTTCTTGAATCAAAATGACATGAACACTGTTAATGCTTTTCCCTTTTACTTATTTTTTCGCGAAAATGTCATAAAGCCATAAAACACAAAATAAGTTGTGAAAATAACTATTATTTAAGAACTAAATATTACTACTTTTAAAGATATCTCATCATCTTTTATATATTCTT